GGGAAGAAAATAGAAAATACTTGCCTTCAACGTACTCTATGTAGTCTCCCAACTGTCTACTTGATGAAGACAAAGCCAGCTTGAAGTATAGGCATGGATAGGGAAGTAACCATCCTCAGACTTTTTCCTCATGATTTACTTTAACCCATGCCCACTGAGTCCCAAGCATTTAATTAATAGATTAACTGAAAAAAGCCCCAACCCTTTAAAAAGTTCCCTGCTCCCTCTTTGGAGAGATCCTTTCGGGAATCCTTGCCACAGATGTTGGTAAATGAGAGAGTCAGAAAAGGGAAAAATATTTTATGCTGCAAGACTTTTCTGACCTATAAATTCAGTTCAGTCTCCACAGAATACTGAAGCTGGAAGGAAACCCTTGAGGTGGCCTAGCACTCTCATTTTACAGAAGTAGAAACTGGGTTGGAGCACTTCACCTGCTGGAGTTAATAAGAGAGGTGTGTCTCCTAACCCAGATCTCCTGAATCCTGGCATCCAGTGGGCTCTCTACCACTCAGCAAGATAAGCTTGGTGATGGTTTGTATTAGATTAGGAACCATCTTTTCCGTTGTCAGTTGCTTGGTTTGTTTATCTAGAAACACGAAGACAAGTATTGGCATTTTTGAAAACTGTCTTCATATTCTTTATTATTTTTGTTAATGTTTATTTTTGAGAGAGACAGACTGAGCAGGGGAGGGGACAGAGAGGGAGGGAGACACAGAACTCAAAGCAGGCTCCAGGCTCTAAGCTGTCAGCACAGAGCCTGATGCAGGGCTCCAGCTCATGAACTGTGAAATCATGACCTGAGCTGAAGTCAGAGGCTCAACTGACTGAGTCACCCAGGCTCCCCAACTGTATTAGAACTGGCTTCATATTCTTAAATGGTTGTTTGGAATCAAATGCTTTCAGAGAATGGGCTACAAGTTATGTCTAAAGTTGACATAACAGCACCTTGTGCACACACAGCAGTAAAGAGATGTGAATTTCCTTTGCCAAAAGAAAAGCTGAGGCTAAAATTGATCCCTAAAATGGGAATACTTCAACACCTAGCTGGTTCTGTTCAAAAATAAGGAATCAGCTCAAGTCCTGTGGCCAAGTCTATATATACCCAAACCATTTTGTGAAAGCTACGGTTAAACTTCATTCCCCTAGTGAAGTTTATGATTCTGTGACCTTGGAAAAAGTTGAGCTTAGAAGTGCAAAATTCACTTGCTCCTGCTCATTTATCCTTGGCCCAGTTTACCTGGGAACCTTCCCAATGTGTTAGCAGAAAACCCCTGTGACTGTGCACAAGCACACCTCCCGTTTTAGATCACTCCAAAGAATGGCTAGCAAATGGAACCAGGCAATTAACAACTTTCTCATTTGACTAAAAAGAATTTTTATCATAATTGTGTTACCAGCATTGAATTGGTAATGAGGCTCTTAGAATTTTATCTCAGTTTTTCTCCTTTGTGCATCAAAAAAGGTCACAAGTATTTCTGTAAATAGTAATTAGTTGTGCCTTTCCTCATTAGCTCTGAGGAATGGGGAATCACCTTCAGGCTGCAGAATAGAGAACCCATGCACTGGAGATTTGCCAATGGCAGGCTCACTTTGTTCAAAGTGTTTCAGAAATGTTTGGATTTGTCGCTAGCATTTAGAAGCCGGGAGATTTGGCAAATGTTTAAATTCCTGGTTTCTAAGAATGTGAAGGGAGGTCCAGCAACACTCGTTCTCCTTTCCATGGCAGTAGTCAAGTGTCCATTAGAAAAGAAGAGCTCAAGAAACCAAAGTATGCCCACGCTGTGTTAATAATACCTCTGCTAAAATCCTTGGGGCACTCCTGAAATTTATCCACACCAATACTTTCAGGACCCATCACCCAAGAACCAGCTGGGCAGGGACATGTGCCATCCCTGGAAATCTAGCAGCCTTGGGTGCCCGTTGCAGTTTTACTACTATTTTTAGAAGGCCCATGATTTGTATCTAAGAGGGCTAGACAGCAAGTGATACCTCCTTTTACTTCTGGTGCGTTTTATTTAACTCAGGAACTAGAAGGCAGAGCAAAAAGTATAGCAGATGCATACACAAAATAAATCTTCTTCTTTTAATCAGAGCCGAAAGGAGTCCCCATTGACATTTTACTCTGTGCCCCTTCGTGGGCTTTAAGCAAAATGTTCAATTTGCTCTGAAGTGAGGAAAATGCAACAGTTAAGGGTTCTGTCTCACAGGTGTAGAGATTAGAGACAGTGTTTTAACATTTGATATTTATCTTGAGACCCACCTGACCAGATACTTTGCACTCTTGTTAACCAAATCTGTGAACACCTGTTGGCAACTATATGCTTCATTTTCTTGCCTAATTCTTCACAGAACTGCAAGGCAGTTCTTTTCCTTCCTTTGTAGCTAGTTTTGTTTTTTGCCACTAACCAAGAGTTAAAAGCTTTAAAGGTTATGCATTTCCTTAAGCCTTTAGCAATCTACATGACCCTCTGTTGCCAGAAGCAAAAGGAACTAATCTTTTGAGAATGACTTGAAAACTACTGAGGACAGCAACTTCGGTTCATACCTACATTTCTCCAGACTATGTATCAGTGTTTACTATTTATTATTCGTCTTTTCTAAACAACACATCACAGCAGTCTTTTCTAAAAGGATGCCCACTGTGGCAGCTCAGGTTCTGAAAAGGTCGTCAAAAGCAAGAAATTTGCTAATTGGTTACGTGAGATTGTGATGGAACAAGCACCCTTGTACATTGTTAGTGTAAATGTTGATCAGGCAGATTTCTTTTGGAGGAAAAGAAATTATAAATGCGTCACTTCTGTCCCAGGAATTATGCTGCTCAGAATTTATGTGCATATATGCCAATGGATAAGGTTATCCATGAGGAAATTCAAGTCCATGGTTAAGTCAATTATGGTGTATTATACCATCACTGAAAAGAATGAGGTAGACCTATTTGTGCTAATGTGGAAGTCCACACATAAAGTGAAAAAAGCAAATCTAAGCATGCATGTATAGTTTGCTACAATTTTTAAAAGAAACATTTACATAAATATGCTTTGAACATCTGAAGGACACTAGAAATGATTAATAGTGGTTACTTCTGGGGAGGGACCTGATGGACTGGAGATGAAGAGTGAAAAGAGATACGCCACTATCTTTTGAGTTAGTGTGTGTGTGTGTTTTGATTTTTGTTAGCATGTGCATGCATCTCCTTTTCACTGTTTTTTAAAATGAACCAGACCACGGAAATAATGACACACTTGTTAAGTGGCTCTCTCCCCAATTGTGTGTTTCTGAAGGTTCTCTGTCCATCCCACGTACACAGCCCTGCCCTCTCCAGGGATGGGTGTAGGGGATGCTAGACTACTCGTTTATCTCTTGGATTCACATCCCCCTTCCCCAAGGCCTAACAGCTTTTCCCCATTCCAGTAGACATGGACAGCTTTGCCTCTGGGCCTCAAGTTCTATTTCCCACTTACTAGTAGGAACAAGGGAATATGCAGGAGTCAAATGGTGGCCTGTTAATGGTATAAGAATGGGCAGTCATGCCTGAACAGGAGAGCTAAACAGAAGTTACCTGGATATGTTTGAAAATATCGGTGTTCAGAAAGGTAGTTTGTTATTTATTAATAAGCATTTATTAAATACCTTCCTATAGGTCCAAGGTACCACTAGGACCTTACTTAGGACTGAAACGTATATGCAAGAATTGCACATAAAATATCAGCTCATTAGTTCAAATTCAAGATCATTGTTCCTTGAAACAGAACCTCATATAAACTTGAAGTAGTCAGTGGCACAGCATCCTCTAAAGATTTTAAAAGAAAAAGGCCAACAAGTTAGCTGGAAAGGAAAGGAATAGCCTCTCTTCAAATACTAAATCTACAAAGTCCTCTGCCTCTAAAGCAGATCCTTGTAGTTTTGGTCTCTTCCCAGGAAATAATCACCACTCTGTTGAAAATGGGAAAGGCACCCCCTACCATCCCCAAGGGGGGAAAAAAAACATTCACCCAAACAGCTTCTACTTGTTTTTACCATATATTCCAGGGATATGTATGGGGTTTTTTTTTTGTTTGTTTTTACATTTATACAGTTTACATTGCTTGACCCATAAATAGCACTCGTAAGATTAATAGGGCCATAGTTTTAAAGAGTATTTACATAGCCCCACCATGCATACAGAGCCTTTTTAATATTGAAAAAATCAAAAAATTTGAACTTTCCATCACTAGGCAATATAAATTTGGCCATCTAAGCTTATAAACCCTGACTAAAATACAAGCAATCATTTCATCCATAAATGCTGTTTCTGGTTCTCCAACAAATCTAGCACTGCAGTGTAACAAATGTCTTGCAATTCAGGGATATAAAAATAACCAGCTTTAAAATCTGAACTGTACAGTATGTACATTAATATTTGCACCGTTAAATTAGGAATACACTTAAGTCTATGAAATACTACATTATAAATAGCAACGTCTTTTTCAATCTGGAGCTGGAGCTAATACAATGCAGCGTTTACCTGGCTAACTGAAAGGGGACGAGGTGGCCTCACACGATGGGATGCACAGTATTGGCTGGGTCAGCGTGACTACGTGCATGCCGCACAACAAGACAGACTGATCAGGACCTGGGCCAACCTGGTGTAGACAAAGGACACACACTATCACTTTACAAAGGTGGCGGGAGTTCTCCATTGTCTAATATCAACACCCCCGTCCAATCACCTCCTGACAGTCTCTTGAGGATTCTCTTGAGGCTTGGAGACCAAAACCGCTACATAGGGCTGTAATGCACCTGACAGGCACAAGATGTGGCATCAACCTGGCACCATCCAAGGAGGGCAAACTGGAGAAATCACACCTTCCAAAGGTTAATCTGACACTGTAAACAGCAGCAGGGGTCTCATTTACATGGGCAAAGCACTTCAAACTATTTTAGCAACTTTCCTATGAAGAAAAAAGATAGGATTCAAGATGGTTAATGGCAGTTTAAACATGATCCCCACAGCTACTAGGTTAAGAAATAATACAGTTTTTGCCCTTGTGTCCCTTTTTCTTCTTGGATTTAGTTGTCCTCTGACCAAACTGAGGAGTGGGGAGTGCAGAAGTTGGGCTCGAAAGGTCATCTGTATAGTAGGCGTATCTCTGTGGCCGGGGTTGAGGAATTGGTTGTCCAAGAAAATATCCTTCTTCTTCTGAGTCGGAGGAGGAGGAGGTGGAGGAGCACCAGGAATCATCGTCCTCACCGTAGAGTCCCAGAAACCTAGGCACTCCTGGGTTCTGCAGTGCGTAATCGGAGGTGGCATGGGCGTACTGTCCATACAGATCAGCATTCTGGATGTATGCTTGGATTTCCCGGGCACTTTTATTCTGTATAAATTTCTCGTAGTTATCAGGGGTGTAAAGCCGCAGTCTGTCCTTGGGAGAGTATTTTCTTTCTGTGACCAGATTCAGGGCATTGTCAGAGCGGGACTTCCTACTTCTCCTGCGGCGATGGTGATGAGACCGGGATCCCCTCTCTTCAAAATGGTAGACCCGTCTTCGAGTCCTTTCACTCATCGGAGGCTGCCGGATTTCAATGTTGTCATAGTTTCCATTGTCAATGACGTCATCTGAAAACTTGACCTGCTGTGGTCTGGATTGAGACTTGGATCTTCTCAATACTGGCAGATGTACTACTGGTTTCTCCTCAGGCATGATTTTTTCTGGACACAACTCTGAACTTAGACTCTTCAAGGACTCTGCGCTCCTGTGCAACATGGAAGAGTTCAAAGTCCCCATATTGCTCATTTTCTCACAATCTTCTGCCTCCATTTCCTCAAAGTTTTGCAGGGAATATAATGAGGGTCTTGGCTTGCTTTCTCCATCCACTGAAGCCCCTAGAAGAAAAGTCAAGACAAAATGTGATCTTCTGACAATTACTACACACAAGCTACTGAAAGGAAGCATCTCAAAGAAAATTCTCCCAAGTGTCAATGTTTGATTAACACCCACTAGGTAAAACCAACATGCACTTGAGAAGGTTTGACTTTTATCATCGATACAGGGGGCATAGCCTCTTACAAGCCCAGCTCTTTTGTGGCCAGACATTAGTTATAGCACATGTCACGAGCAGCAAACATTTTAAAACTTCTCCACATGTAGAACATGACACACAGAAGCTTCTGCCTTGTGATACATTAAAGCCAGACTACTTCACTTGAACATCTCTCAAATCAATCCCTTCCTTTGCATCCACATGACCACAGTTATGATCCTTTTATACCTAGCTTAGTGGTCAGCAAACCACAGCCCAAGGGCCACATCTGGCCCACAGCCTATTTGTGGATAAAGTTTCACTGGAACACAGCCACACCTATTCACTTACACATGGTCTATCGTTGCTTTCTGCAGTGACAGAGTTGAATGGCTGCAACAGAGACTGTATGATCTAAAAAGTGCTATCTAGCCCTTTACAAGAGAAGTTTGCCAAGCCCTGACACCTAGATCATCAGATCCAGTCTTCTTCCCCCTTTACCTCTGTAACATATGCCACTCTCAGATTAATTTTACTTTAATAAAGCTCTTCTCAAAACAGATATTGCTCTCCTTTTTTAATAGGGCCCAGGCAAGTCAAAACAACCCAGCAGACTGTAAGTGACTAGGGCATGGTACAGACTATTGTCACCTAGAGACTACATAACTTCCTACTTTCTAGAGGGAGCCTATTTCTTAGCCCATTATTGTCAAGGAATGTCAGCCCTAACACTTTGTGTACCCAATGAGGTCTGTTTTTGATACTAAGTGTTAAAACACAGAGCCCAGCAAACAGGATATGCTTAATTCAGTCCCACCCACATTCTTCAACTCCCCTTTATTGTTGGCCTGCCTCATCTTTGACAAGTCCAACAGAAACTAGGAGGGTAGCTAGCTGTCTTAATTCCTTCTTGCCAGGGTTATTTCTGGCACAGGGCAGCCAGTAAAGCCTTTCCTGCCTATATTACAGTAACATAACCTTTATGAAAGGACTGAATATTATCAGTTGGACTATAAAACTAGCCACAGCCTTTGCTAGCCACGGACCAGTAATATTTCTGTGTTCAAAGACTTAACGCAAATGTGAGATTCAGGAGGGGGTGGGTTCCAGACTCAGTCGTGCCTTTAAAAACCTATGTAAAGTTAGGCATTTAGCCTCTTGGTGATTTAAGTTTCCTCATGTGTAACACATACTAAGTAATACCCACTTGATACAGCTCAGGATCATTTTAAGGATAAAATGTAGATAACTGATACGAATATGCTTTGAAAACATTAAAGTGAAATTATTTTTTAATCTGCATAAAAAACATCCAGCTATTTTTGAGCTATCTGTTGCCAGCGGGCAATTCAGAAAAATATAAAAGATGCCATGAGCTTATAAAGCACACATGCTGATTTTAGCATCTTGAAATTCCTACAGCAAATCTTAAGAGCACAGGATCTTTCAGACACAGATGCAGATTCCATTATCCACATAAATCAATTTCCTCCTCTTTAAAATAAGGATAATACGTATTCAAGAAGCTTCTATTAAACACGTACGCTCACGTTTATTTTGTTAGCATTTGGCGTTCGATGTAAACTTCTTCCTTCCCTTGGTCTACAGTTTTTCGTAACATGGGCCCTACTGCTGAACTGTAGTTTGTAGAATAAATTTTTTAGTGGCTCTTTTTTCCAAAAACCCCATAATCCCTAGATTGCGTACCTGTGATATTAGATAAAGCCAAAGAATCCATAGAATCTCGAACACTTTGCTCTGGTTTCAAGTCTGACAAACACTCCAGGGAATCTTCATACCAGTGTGTTTGATCGTGATTATAGCCTGAAGCCCCATGGTCCAGATCCAATTCCTGGAGCCTTCTACTGCTTGCAGGGCCTGGGTGGCTGCCATAAGCAGAATCGCCTAGTCCATCTTGTGACTGTGCCCAATACATATCAGACTGGTATTTTTTACTTGCAAGGCTCTGGTTATTTTGCTTTAACTCAGTCTTATTTTTAACCATGTTATCAGATATCCAGTGCTCACTGGCTCGTATATCTAGCTCACTGGGCGGCTGCTGAAAGAGGCTTTTATCACCAAACTTGAGGAGGAGCTGCGTCATATAATCTTCATGCTCAGCCCATTCTTCAGGGTCTTCTGGGGTTTCGTGCTCCACTCTGCCTTTCCAAAATTCTTCATTGACGAAACCTCCCTGCCTGGCGAGACTCAGATCCTCCAATTTCCGAGAAAGGGTGTCGTCAGCATTGCCTGATAGGCCAGGAAACTTGTAGTTTAGAGCAGGCGACAAAAGAAGAGACTGTCTACACTGATCTGCTGACCGACTGCTCTTGCCCATCCGGACACTTCTTCTAGAGTCTCTTGATCGAGCTGACTGAAATGCAGAGTCAGAAGAGTCAGAGGCATGGACGTCTTCACCAAGGCTGCATGTTTTTGAGCAATAAATCTGACCTTGTTTGGGAAGGAAGGGACACCCCAACAAAGAAGCTTTACACTGGGCACAAGAAAAGCAGGCTTCTGTAGCATGCCAGTGCTGCCCATCATAGGTCATCTGTGCATGGTCGACACCTGTTTTGAAGAAGGACAGAGTAGGAGGTTACAGTTCAATCTTGAAATAAAGGAAGAAAAAGACAAGAATGTTTGTATGGGGGAGCTCTAAAAGGTGATGGAAATGTCTGTATCTTGAAAGGGCTGTGGGTCACACATGTACAGTTAATTGTCATTATTCACAAATCCCATATTTTTGAATTTGCCAAAATTTTTTAATTTGCCTACTTGCTAAAATGTATCTATACCCGCAGAATCAATACTTGCAGAGCTTTCAGGGTTATTTGCTGACAGGTGCAGAATGATGAAAAATTTGAGTCAACTGATGTGCCATGTTCCCAAGCTGAGGTCAAACAACCAACGCTCTGTCGTTTGTCTCTGCGCTCATACTGTAACAGCTGACAGAGCCATGGTCGATTTATTATCAAGTTTTCTTTGCATTTTTGGGCTTTGTGTTGATTCCGCTGTTTAAGAGGGCTCCCAAGCATAGTGCTGAAGTGCTGTATACTGTCCCTAAGCTCAAGAAGGCTGTGATGTGCCGTATAGAGCACGTAAGTGTGTTAGATCTAGCAGCGTCATTCAGGCATGAGCTATAGTGCTCTTGGCTACGAGTTCAATATTAGTGAATCAGTATACACTAAATAAGGTGTGTTTAAACTAAGACATACATGAAACAAGATTATCTGTTGAGCAGTTCATGAAAATGTGACCAGAGCCTTGCAGGACCCCAACCCTGACTGTCCCCGAGGAGCAATGGTCCAGTAACTCAGGCAACTTTATAGAACACAACCATTGCAAATAATGACAGCTGACTACATATCCATTGTCAAAACTCCTCAAACTAAAACATTTAAGATCTGTACATGCCCCTGTAAGTTCTACAAAACAAACCCACACAGAGACTGGACAATCATAGGCCGGCTACACACTTACCGATGTGCTCCCCACAGGTCTCACAGTACTCTGCATAGAGAGACTCAAAACAGCCGCAGCAGAATGGGCGGCCATCCTTCATGATGTATCTCTGTCCCCCCAGGACCGTTTCACACTCAAGGCAGCAGAAGTGTTTCATGTGCCAATGGCGACCCTCAGCTTCTGTGCACTCATCAGCAAAAATTATCTTTAAAAAGAAATGGGATGAAAAGATCATGGTGAGCTCTTCTAGAGGCCAATTAACTGCATGTTTTCTGGACAACTGACAGACACTGGCTCTTAAAGAAATCACTTAACTAGCTAACCTAGGTTCTTATAGCCTCAGGCTCACATCTTACTCGATTTAGATATGAAATAAAAGCATGAATTGAAAATGTTGAAAAAGAGAAACTCAGTGCTTGCTTAAACTTAAAACAAAAAACAGATTTTTACATAGGAGATCATTCATTTGGTCATATTTTTGCTCTCCAGTCACACTTTGTTGGCATAATCTGGCAAAGAATACATTAACATTGAAATAATTTAGTAGTCTGTATTTTGATACTAAACTCATAAAAATGTCTGCAGAATCAGCAGTTACAGCTATCCAGATGCTGTGCTGTGTGAACAGCACGTGTAGATAATGTTTCATTTGACCCGGTGGTCATCTCCAGATTAAAGACTTTACTTTTTATAATTTTGGTTTCAAAGAAATTTCAAATTGCATATTATTGAAAAAAACTAAAAACATAAATGTATAAAAGTAGGCACTGAAAGTTAACTGTCACTGATTGAAGGAGACTGAGGAGATACAGAATAAATGCAATAAGGTACCCTGGATTCGATCTTGGAATAGAAAAGAGACACTAGCAGAAAAACTGGAAATCTAAATAAAGTCTGTAGTTAATGGTATTATGCCAATGTTAATTTCTTAGTTTTGATGCATATACCATGGCTAGGTAGGATGTTAACAATAAGGGAAGCTGGGAGAGGGTCTACAGAACTCTCTGTCATCTCTTCAAGTCTTCTGTAAATCTAAAATTACTTTAAAATAAAAAGCTTAAAAAAAATTCCTTTCACACCACCATCCCTTCCCACATGCCCCAGGGGTAACCACTGTTAACTCAGTGTATGTCTTTCCATACTAGTTCTGAGTGTATACAGATATATACACAATCCCGACTTACTCTCCCTTTATTTAACAAAAAGAAGATTATCTACTACTTAATATTCTTGCAACTGGTTTTCTTCTCCCACAATCCATCAAGGACATCCTACTTATCAATGCACAAACACACCTGCTGCCTTCTCTTTATTAGCTGCATATTATTCCATTATATGAATGTACAAGATTATCTTAAAAATATCTAGACAGCAAAAGCAGGAGATATTTATATTTTGCTTAGATGTGAACAGTGGAATACTGGCTTACTAGAAGCTTATTTTTTCCAGTGTTAAGGGATAATTTTTTTTTTTTTTTTTTTTTTTTTTTTTTTTTTTTTTACCTCATCACATGCTGAACACCGTGGTTTGAGCAGTTCAGCATGGTGCCTGCCACAGTGAATTTTTCCATCCTGATAAAAATAGATGAGGTCGACCAGCAGCTCGTTGCACGTGTAGCAGACAAAACAGGAAGGGTGCCAACACACTCCAGGGCCCGCACGAGAGGCAAACACTGCAATTTCACCTCCATTTATCTTCAACCCACACTAAAAACAAAAGGATTTGAAATTTAGACGATCCTTCTTTAAGAACTGGATGCTCAGCCTTTCCTACTTTACACTAAATTCCATTTTGTCAAGAAAGCTTTTATTTGTGGCCCCTCCTGTTAGTGATTAAATAGCTCTTTAATGCTGGATTATTTCTGATTCTTAACTGGAATGAACATGCCTCAGATATACTACCACACTAGACTGTTTCTAAGAATGGTTTCATCCAAGTCACATGAAGAGTCCTTTTCCTGAGCCAGCCTCCTATTGGATACATTTCCTACTCTGAGCCAGGAAGTGTCTGAACGTCTTCATTCTGTTTCTGCAGTTTTGAACAGTGGGTGTACCCCAGCACCTCTCTCCATGCCCAGATTTCACCTGATGTTTACACAAGGGCAGACTGACTCCCCCTGTCAGTTATAAACATTAATGTCCACTTAATAAAAAGCTAGGCTGCCTTTTATGTTTTGGAGGCTTTTAGGGCCCACACCTGTGCTGGCCCGGTCACCTACCCCCAACCATACTCCATCCACGTCACTACCACGAGCTACTACTCATCCTTGGAAAGTGCTACCTGTTCGCACACGGCGTGCATCACTGCTCTGGACAAAAGTTTAATCGTTCCTCTTCCTAGTGCTTCTTTCTTCCTTTGAGCACTGAACACCTGCAATTCTTTCTTCTCCTCTTCACTCAGCGACTGGCAATACCGCACCTTCAGAGAGAAGAAAACAGAAGCACCACCCTGGAGCACCCAGTCTCCCTCACCAATTCAGTATTTCCAGGGTTAGAGTTTCGGCAAAGAGCAAGTTTAACTGGCCTGCCCCATAAATCCCCAATTTAAAAATGGCACTGTACCTTTAAAATGACATCAAATCTTATAGCCTCTCCAACAAAAGGGAAATGCAATTCGAAGGATCTTTTTTTAAAAAAAATAAGGAGTGTTTAAACTTTTATCAGAGACACTTAAAAAAACTGGAAGACATTAACCTTTCTACAAAAGGTTTAAACTTGTTAATTGCCACTTTCACTCTCCATTCTACAGGCACTCCACTGCAGGGCCAGCCCTAACTACCAGAAAGCACTGACTCTAGATGAAGGGGCAGGGAAATCTCAGGAATTTATAGGTTCCTGATAAGTGGTGGGTGGCTGCAAACACTACAAAAAACAACTTGTTGTTAAGTTTATTGCACTGACACCCTTTTCTCTCTCAAAGAATGGAAAGCTATATTCTCAAGGCAAATTTTAACTGAAGAAAGGCAAAAGAGCCCTGGCCAGTGAGGAGGTAGGGTTTATGAGAGGCAGCTCAATGTTTAGGGTGTATTTTTTTTTTCTTTAAATTAGGCTGCTTCCTGTTATTTTACCTCATTATCATGTGGCGGCAACTGGTACAAGAGCTGTTTAATTCGATGTTTCTCTCCAGGGCTGTTAACATAAGGAACCTTTTCCTCTGGTAAGCAAGCAAAATAGAGCTGGATCTGGGTAAGAGATGAAAAACAAGGACATCAGCATACCGGAAGTGAACATCTTAGCTTACATTCCATCTTAGAAAGTTACCTTTCTCTTTAGGTACAGGGTTTGGCCTCTTGTAGCTAATGAGAAGACCAGCTGAGCCAACTCAGCAGAACTGCAAATCTTCAGATAGCTAGCATCCAGCTGCTAAATTGCTCTTCAGGAATGTAATTTGTAGTGACAATTAGGGGCATCATAAATTATGCACCATAAAATGTGCACACTTAATGCTACTATTCCTCAGCCTATCTCCCTAGGGTCAGCCAAGAAAGAATGCCAGGTGAGTGCTGCATATGACCACACAGGCTGTGTGACGCCACCCAAAACCCAGACACTACACAAGCACACTCAATTTGCTCTCTGAATTTTACACGTCACAAAGACAAAAGCTGTTTTGTTAAACTGTGTAAACTCTCCCTTATCAGGTTCTCTCAAGCATCAGCTTTCTTTGCTTCCATGGATGTTATTTTCTAAATACCCGGAGTCCGTTTCCCCACGGAAACTGGAGGGGGGCCATACTGAGCTGTACTGAGGTCACTTTGAAAGGAGAACTCCATTTCTGGTTTTTTTTTCCCCCCCATGGTATTTCAAGGTATATCCCTTAATGCATGTAGAGTACTTTGCAGTGCTGAGAATCAAGGTGGTTTGAGGGGAAAAGATCAGGGAACTAGGGGCTTGTCTGCTTCAGTTTATCTTTCTATCACATAAAACCTACCCAATCGTAAGCTGAAAGAAGGGGTTTTCTGCTAGTAAGTAATCAAAATATTGCTTTCCTAACCAGTGTGCCAGCACACCACCCTCCCTCCCCATTGCGTCAGCCACAGAAGCTTTTACAGTTAGGAGTGCTTACTGAATACCAGTTCCATGTGCACCGGGTACTGTGCCAGGATGAGTAGGGAGCCCTATTCCTCAGAAAAGTTTCCCACCATGCAGGAAACCCCCATAACTTAGGAGCAGTCATACACCCAGCTGGGACCTTTTATTTCAAACTATGGCTTCACCTGCATCTGTCACCAGCAATTTTTAGTAAGTTCATCATTATAAGGATATTAAGGAAATAAAACTCTGCATATACAATATTCTCATCTTAAAGTAACAATACAAACAAAGCATAATTTTTTTTTTTTTTTTTTTTGCAATACACTCTGTGGTGACAGATTCTTTTATGTGTCAGGTTATCAAAGGTCAAACGTCTAAGCAATAACACTTCAGGTGATTTCTTACAGCTCTGTACTTCTCATCTCTTCCAAAGCAAAAGCATTGCTCAGAGCTGGCATGGAAATGTTCCTCTTTTCTTTCATTACCTTTCTATTGTTACTTGATGTCTTCAAAAAGTTTAAATTCCTCTCACTCTCTCCCAAGAGCGAAGAAATTAAATATGCCCTTCAAAAGCAAAAATTTATACTACCCAGAGAGTAAGGACAAAGGAGGGTAGCATAGCGTGTCAGTAATGGTAGGAATGGTCTGTACATTTTTTAGCATTTCTCAAAAAAAATCTGACATGTTGTTGGTAAACAGAGCACATGGAGTGATGAGGTCCCACCTGCTCTGGCCGCAGGCCTGGGGGCACCCAGGCATACTCCTCCAGGGCACAGCCAGAGTCGTCGTCAGATGTGGAGCTCCTCTGGCACCCGAAGGCAAGCTTGCTCATTTTGGGCTCCATCTCCAAAGGCATAATATTGAAGTGAAAAGGCCGGTTTCTCAGTCACAGGACATCAAACAATGGCTGCTGTGGACAATATAGGGAAAAAACAAAGAAATTAAAACCTGAAGGCCTACTCTTGCCCTCCAGGAACTTGTATGGAATGCTGTTTACACACAGCTGGGCCTGGTTTTCTAGTAACTAGTTACCCGTTTCTAGTCACCAAGTTACCAGTGTCGCCACCCCCCAACCCCCAGGCCCACCAAAACTGCGCATCTAGAGTTACACAATTTGGAAGCAGCCCCCTTAACAACTTAGCATTTCAGAAGATGCCACCAAAACTAGCTTAGTTCCAGCTGCCTTTAACAAGCGCCTCTAACACGCTATTCGTTAGAAGGGTTCTCAAGAAACTGCTTTGTTGACTTTCTAACTTTCCCACAAATGAAATCTTGTGAAGTCCCAAGAGTGGAAGAAGTGTCAGAGATGGCACCGCCTCCTGCCCTGCCTGCTGCTTTGTGTTCCCGAGACCCCACCCTGCTCCCGGGTCTCCTAATCCCAGCCATTTACTGCCGCCTGCACAGAGTGGGTCCACTGGCAGACTGCTCAGATTTCTGGTTTCTAATCAAGTCTACTCCCTGACTAGAAATAGCAGTTGAATCCTTAATATAGCACGTTCAATCCAAAAGCCTTTAGTATCAATGGGCCAAAGTCTGCCAGACAGTTCATTAATGAGTTCCTTCAACAAAAAGTAATTGAATCCAAGCACGAGGCTAAAATAAAATCCTGCTAGCTGACTATTAGTGTGGAATTGCATTACCAGCAGGCATTCATTGAAAAGTCACACCTACTATGTGTGACAAGCTAGCAGCCAGCTACTGGGCAAAGTAAGATGTAAATCCAGTTCTGGATGAAAAGTCTTCCTCAGAGGGAAGGGCTGCAAAGGTGTTAACACAGGGGTCTCTTGCTCTACAGCCCAGGAACTTTGTTATGGGCGTTTAAGTTCCTTGTTAAATTTCTTTTGATTCTTAAACATCATCCCTCATCCCAAGGCACTAAGAAAAAAAGATACAAGACTTTTCAGAATCGATGCAGCTTGTTTTATACCTGCCCCTTTCCTTCTCCCTCCACAAAAACAAAAACAAAAACAACATAATTAGCCTGACCCCAATTTAAAGAAAACAAGGCTCAGGAAGTTCAATCACTCACCTAAGGTTACACAGCTGAAAGCCAGAGAGTACAGTCACACTACGTGCCTGACTCATCAGACTTCCAAAAATTGTTCTGCCTTAAAAAATTCTCTCTCTTGCTAAAACAAGTAGGAAAGGCAGTGAACCCTAAGCACACTCCTGCCTGAGAGGAAGTCCTTTCTCAGCCACTATGTCAAACCCAACTCTACAGTATCAGAAAGTTACCTCTCACAACCCAATTATTAAAACGTACACTTTTTCTTTTATAAATCAAAGGACATAAATTAAAATTGCAACAGTTAACAAATGGAAGGCCAAACATCCAAGGGATACAAATCGTTGTTAGAAGAAGGAGGGACGCCATACAGTAGGCAGATATTATTTCAACTATTAGTTTAACTTTTCCTTCACCCTGACCAAAAAGTAAAGATGAACTCATTTCCTCCACTATCATTGGGAGGTTACGACCTTTTAAACAAGTCGTCATTTCACACAGGTGCAATTCATTCCCATCTTGACTTAAGAAAGGCTCTCTAAACAGGCACATTCCTCTTAGCCCTCCGTAAAAAAAGGATGTGTTAATGAAAGTCAGAAAATTTCTTGGATCTAGTCTTTCCCTTTTGTTTTGGAAAAAGCAACTCCCACATGTCAAAGGAAGAGAACTAGAGGTTAAGAATTTAATTAGTAACTCAAAAATCCCCACCAGGAGAACGGGGGCAGGGGGGCTGGGAACCTTCAATGCAATTTTAACCTGAATATTGAAATATATATATTTGGTCCTTCCCAAATCTGGCTGAGGAAGGAGACACTAAGGTACCTGCACTGCAGAAACTTACAAAAAGCATAAATATTAACAAGAACCTATTAAATATTAATATATTATAAAACGAGAAAACACAAATTTAAGACAAACCATGGATTTTCCAAGCTAGCACAAAGACGCAGACTAGCAAAGATCTGAATTACTTTTACAGCTATATTCCTAGATTAGCCTTTTGCAAAAAAATGTATAGTAAATTGCCATCCCAATCAAGGTAAATCAACTTTAGCACTAAATGACACAATCCACCTCCTCCCAATCTAGATGGGAGGCCACGCCTTGAACTACAACTCCCATATATTTGTCCCAGCCTCTCTACACACTACACTGAGGACTGTCGACCATCAACAATGTGAAGGGTCCAAGTGAAGGGACACGAGTTATCACAGGCAAGGCTTTCAGTTTTATGTGTTGGCATTCTGACAGCTAACTGATTCCTGGTGGGATTAGTGTTATGACATTTAATTATCATATGGAGCAACCCAATGAGGGCGTGTCTCAATTCACAGCGGGGAAGACGGAGCCTCAGAACGACCTGTCACAGGACAACTGTCCAAAGGCACAGTGGCCTTAGAACTTGGCCTGTGATCTTAAACCTCTAACCCCACACTGCCTCCTAGAGGTGGAACCTGATGGAGCCGGTTCCCCTTTGCTGTGGCCAGTTAGTACCGCTACTGCATCAGTCACGACAAATGACTGAATGTAGGGAGACAGTCCACTTTGCCCAGAAAAGGCACTTCAAGGAAAGCACACAGTGAAAAAGGATTATAAAAATTCACCAGCCTCATGAGCTCTGGGTTCAGAGTTTATTCTCTGGAGAGAGCCTCTTTTTGCTTTCTATCAGAAGATAATAAAATGACAAAACATTACATGCATTGGGAAGGTCTCAGAGCTGACAAAAAAAATTAAAATAATAAAAGTTACATAGCATGACCTTTACTTGATAACACAAAAATCTGAATATGGATTTTTCTCTTTTAAAAAATTACTTGTGTCAGTAGACCCTTATATTCTTAAGTATATCATTTTCTCAAACTGTGTCATATGAAAGCAGGTGACAGCTGATCATGGTTCTTGCACTATAAAATGTTAAAGTAATAAAAACTATAAATAAAAACATTTCACAGGGGCGCCTGGGTGGTTCAGTCAGTTAAGTATCTGACTCTTGATTTCGGCTCAGAGCATGGTCTTAACGAATCCATGAGCTCAGTCCCCGCATCAGGCTTTGCGCTGTCAGTGCAGAGCCTGCCTGGGATTCTTTCTTCCTCTCTGCCCCTCCTCTGCTCTCACTCTCGCAAAATAAATAAACTTAAAAAAAAATACATGATCTCCCAAATACACCTTATGTAGGCATTTACATTTACTGTATTGAAAATGCGTGACAGCACAAAGAAAGAGGGGGACGTGGCCATTACTTATGCTCTGGGTCATGATGTAGGATCTTCCTAATGACATCTAAATGTGGTTCTGTCTCGTCTGCCAAAATACCACCTTTTAGAACAAACACAAAACCATGTGTGAATTAGATCTGACAGAAAGATTTAATTAATTTCATTTCCAGGTATTGTCTCTAGGTTGATCATGTGAAATACAGACACAAATCAGGTCTACAAATGAGTTGAATTATAACAGGAATAGAACTATCCAAAGTTGGAATTATGATATAGAAAATTTTCAACATTTTTTTTTTGAACAACCACACTTAGATGGGCAAAAGTGGCCCTGTCCTTTATTAATTTTGTACTTAATTTTTGTAAATTTTTATTTTGATATAATTTCAAGCTTCAGAAAAGTTGGAATAGCCCTTTGTAGCCTTTACCCAGACTCATCAAGTGTTTGCATTTTGCTTCACCTGGTTTATCACCATTCTCCTCCTCATGATCACAAACACATACACACACTTTTGTGGGAGCCTTATGGAAGTGCAGATTTTTAACATCCTCTTACCTAACCACAGCTAAGTTTTAAATATGGTATTATATTTTTTAAATGTTTATTAAAAAAAAACTATATGCAAGACACGGTGCTAGATACTGGAGATCAACAGAGTAAAAAGCCAAAATAACTTAGTATTCTGTGATTATTCTGAGGAAGGTTTATTGTACTGGTAGTGAAATGCTGTAACTGAATGAACTTAATCACATGTGAATGACAATTATGCATTAACTAATTCTGTGCTAGGTTTGCCCCTGTTAAGGAAATGGATCTGGAAGGGCCCCACCTCTCCAAAGTCTCTTCATAATTCCGCATGTCTCACAATGCAGGGAAAAAAGTAGAACGATGTTCAGGAATGGGTTTGTTCAGGTTCCAGAGTTTGACCGTCAAGGAAGCACGTAGAGGGAGCAACACCTTTAAGAGCTAACAGCACCGTCGAAGATGGCACTGAGGTCAAGCACAGAGAACAGATACTTGGATTAAATTATAGCAGGTAAGGAGTTATTTGCAGGTACTATTTTAAAGAGAGGACTAAAAGCAGACTAGAAAGAAGACTCAAGGAGATGAATGACAAAAAGAAGAAAAGGGAATGGACAAGGGAGACGAGAAGAAAGCCCAAGGTTGGGTAGAGAGAAATGAGATACTTTTTTCTTACGAAGACAAGGACTATCATGGGGATGCTCCAAGCCAGCCAAACAACAGAAGGTGGAAAAGTTTCATTTCCCTTCTTTCTCCTTTTCTCCTTTCTTCCTTCAAAATAGTTAGTTACTTCTCACCATTTAAAAAAAAACTCAAAGACAAACAGTTCGCAGATGTAGGACTTCTCAATCATCATATAATTGTCAAGAGAACATCTGACCCAAGGGACAGAGCAATACGTAAAGGAATGGGATCTGGGCTTCAGCATTCAGTAAACCCAGCCCTGAACTCTTCAGACCTTTGGCAAACCACCAAACGCAATGGGGCCTTGTTCTTTATTGTAACTATTTTCCTTACAAAGATGGTCTAAGTAGGTGAAAGCTTTAAAGAAGAAAGGAATTATACGAGTATAAAGAATTAAAATTACTACTGACTGTGTCAATTGGCATTGT